GGCTAATAACTCTAGTTAGTAATGATGAGGTCTTCTCTTTCTTTCAAAAATGTTGAATGGAAATGACTGGGGCAGTCAGATAAAGCTACTCTACACCAAAGTGCAATTGAACGCAGAGGGAGCACTGTTGTTGTTGGTGCGCCCGACCCTGATGCACAAACAGATGGTTCTTCTTCTCTTGTGTTCTCCTCCGTTGGTCCGTCTTAACTCAGAGGCGACGTTTCTTTCTTTCTCTCTCGTGTACAGCTTGCTTCAGAGTTGTGTTTGTCCTCAGACAGGTACTCTTGGATCTGTACGGTTCTTTCTTTAGGCTGATGCAATGATTTTAAAAGACAATAAAAGATAGTATAATAAAACAAAATGACGTGTTCTGCTTTTGTCCTGTTACATGTGATGAGCTCATCGGTAGCATGTCACACACTCACACACATCTCCAGAGTTGTGTTCACAGGAATGGTTTTCCATCGTAGCAGCAACAAGTAAACCTGCAGAGTTTTTCATCTCCAGAGGATCGAACACACAACTCAGCCTGCAGCAACCAAACGAAGCAAAGCAGCAAAAGTTTTATCAGCAGTGAAATAGATTTTAGACGTTCGCTCGGCCTGGTGGTTAAAACTAAATACGTATATTTACTCAAGTACTGGGGCTGCAGGTGTCTCAGTGGTTAGCACCGTGGCCTCACAGCTAGAAGGTCGCCGGTTGGCGTCCCGGTGAGGACACCCGGGATCTTTCTGTGTGGAGTCTCCATGTTCTCCCCCGTGCAGCATGGGTTCTCCGGCTTCCTCCCACAGTCCAGAAACATGCTGAGGTTAATTGGTGATTGTAAATTGTCCGTAGGTGTGAATGTGAGTGTGCTTGGTTGTCTGTCTCTAAGTGTAGCTCTGTGATAGACTGGTTACCTGTCCAGGTGAACCTGCCTTCACCCTGAGTCAGCTGGGATAGGCTCCGCCCCCCATGACCCTGGTGAGGATTAAGGTATTTATTTTATTCAGCTGTATAACTCCACTATACTTAAGAGGATAATGTACTTTCAGTGTTGTCAGTCTAAAGACGTCATAAATAATAAAAAAAAATATAAGTACAAGTAACCAAACCGATACTTGAACTTATTTTTCATTGCTGCGTTTTACTTCCACTTCAGTAGAGGATCTGAGCACTTCCTCCACCGCTGACCAGACCTCAGAGACACACACTCAGGTGAGAAACACTAGATGGTCCCACAACCTCTGGTTTCTTCCAAAGAATTTTAAGAGAAAACATTTCCTCACTTCTGCTTATGAGCCAGTTTCACTGGGAACCTCTTCTTAGAGAGTAAATAGTGGTTGTGTGATTAGAAAGCTGTTTTTCTGAACAGATATCTGTTCCTCACAGCCCTATCTATATGACACCTAAAAACAGGGTTTACGGGACAACATGGCAACAACAAGTTCAAACAACAAGACAGGAACACATTTAAACAGTCAAAGTGCTTTTCAGTAGAAAAATGAGATGCAAGTTGAAATCTTGCCTCTACGTGGTTATTTATCGTGAATTTACTGGAATAATTTAAATATGATGTTTAAAAACAAAACAGTACAAAATACAAGTTTACCAGACTGATTTATATAATAAGGTCAGCACATTACTTGACTAATTTAGACGATTAATTGGGGTTAAAAAGCTCCAAAATCATAAATGGAAAACCCAACAAATCCAGAGATTCCCTTTGAACAAGCATTTTGGCATCAGTAGAGAAGAAGTCCATTTTAACATGAGGCCAGCAGAACCAGACTCGGGGAGGACGGTCATCTGACGCTGAGCAAGTTGTTGTGACCAGTAGCTGCTGATCCGACCTGAGCAGCTCCAGCTCCAGGGGATGGAGCAATAAAAAGCTTAACGGGCCATAAAGGAAATGCGTCACATAAAAACAAGTTGATAAAATCAGTTATAGAAGGGATTTAAAAGATATCACTGATTATGTAAGAGCCATCTTCTCCCACGTGTTGGTCCAGCTGAGGAGCTCTGATGGCCTTTAGGTTAAAGCCACCACCTTGGATGAGCCAGGACGTCCCACCCGAGGATCTGAGGCTGGAGGCTGCCTCATGTGGGATCAACATCTCTGCTGCTGTGCAGCCTCGGGCCAGACCTCATTAAAGGTGATCAGAAAAATCTTTAAAGCAATTCTAAAGAAAACAGAGAGCAAATGGGGAGAAGTCCAGACATGGGGCAGTGATGTCTGTAAGAACCGAGCTGCTTCTGAACCAGTCTGAGGCCAGAGAGGGCCTTTAGATTTATGACAGAAAGGAGGGAGATACAGGAGTCAGGTCTGGAGGAAACACCGGACTTATCACAGGTCAGAGGGTGAGAATTTAATCCTGAAGATGTTTCAGGACAGGAGAACTTCTCCTCCGTCAGAGGTTAGCTCTGAATCCAACAGGACTCTCTGGTAACAAGCTTCCCATTAGAGGACAGAGAATCAAGGCTGCTTTCAGTGAGACTTATCAGACTGCGCCTCACAGCCTCATGTGGAGTTCTTTTCTGTGCATTTTTATAATGTTTTACTCTGTGTGGGCTCGTTGTTTTATTCCAATGAAGTCCTGCAGCTCCGTGGAAACTAACCGTGGCAAGAAGCAGACAGAAGCCATAAACTGCTTTTGTGCCGAATGACAAAACCAAAAGCCATCAATCATAAAACTTTTTTCTTCTGTCTCGTGGTGACTGAAACGACCATAAAGTCTCTACTGATAGGAGGCACGGGGAAAGCAGGATGTCGTGTTTGACCGAACAGCATCGACCGGATACTAAACACTGCATTCACATCGTATATATACTAATTTATTGAACTGATAAATCCTAAAACTAAAATAATTTACCAGTAACAATGTTAGACAGATAACTACATCCTCTTTGTCAAAACTTTTTGCATCGAAATGTCGCGAGACTTACGTCAGTGCTTGAAACCTGGATCCAACCTGTACGACGTGTTTACAAGCACACAGGTGTCGGCAGCACTGGAAAAAACAAGAGATATTTACCTCCTTACGTTTTTATTTTGCTTTCACACGTGTCTGCTCCGTGTCAACAGTCTGCAGTTGGACCCAGTTCAGCCCAGAAGTCCCTGAATATGGTGACTGTTGGTTGAGGTGCCGTCACTCAGGTTTTTGTTTTTTCACAGAATCTGTTCAGTGCAAACTATTCATTCTGGCAAATTTTCAAACGAATCATGTAGAATAAAATGATCTTGATCACAGTCTTGGGTTTATGGAGCTGCACTTTGCAAACGTTACGTTCAAGAACCATCAGAAATCGTTAGTATTCTGTTTGTTTTTATGGTTTCTTGCTCTGATAAATGTTGTCATTGTCTTCACAGTCATAACATGTTATAAACCTGCTGATGAGCTTTGGTCCTCAGAGGTTTGATACGTTTTTAACTTTTTCCAAATGCTGTCAAACCCTCAATGTAAATACAGATCTACATTTGGGTTGTAGGAGTGTCTCAAAACTGACCTGTCCAGGGTGTCCCCTGCCTTCGCCCTAAGCTGGCTGGGATAGGCTCCAGCTCCCCCACGACCCTAGTGAGGATTAAGCGGTGTATAGATAATGGATGGATGGATGGAGTGTCTCAAAATCTTTAAAACTGAATCTGAATCGGTAGGTATGACAACAGGGAAGTAGGAAAGTACGTGTTTTGGTATTTTCCACACTCTCAGAAGTATAAATAACATTTAAATATGACATGAACGCAGATGATTAGACTTCCTGTACACAAAAATATCATCAATAAAAAACAAAGCCCTTCAGACCAGCTGGTGCTTTAGTTTTGTCTGCTGCACTCAGACCCAGAGCAAAAGACGGGACTGAATCATGCAGTCGTGTTCTGTCCTGTCTGCTTTATGATCTCACCGCCTGATTTAGAGGGAGGCATCATGTGAGGATCACCAGGTAAAACTGTTTATGGTGCTCAGCAGTTTGTGGTGTTTTCAGCATGTGTGCTTCCCATGACCCTTCTCGAGCAGACCTCTGGACTGAGGAGCTCAGCTTAGGCTATAACTGTTTTATAATTAGCCAGAATCTGCAGCGGAGTCATTTTAGGAGCTTATCTAACAAAACAAGAGGAGCAGCACTCTGGGTGAATCGATCACAGGGCTGCAGCTCTGAGGGATTCTCTTCATTTCCTCAATCCTTTTTTCACCGTGATGAACCAGTTCTTAGAAAACAACTTCCTGCACAAAAGTCCTGCCGGGGGTTTAGCTGTAACACACCAAACCCAGTTTACCTTCCACTGATGCATGTTTCCTGTAGAACCCTCCAGTGTGTGTAAGTGTTAAGAGGACCAACATGCATCTTATGAATATTGTGAAATGATGACATTTCATCCTTCGTTAAAGCTTTTCCCTGCTGCACCCTGACATTTGTGAAACAGTGGTTGTTGTGTTGAGTGTAACTAAATCATTGCAAAATAAATGAGCCTCGTGCTTGTGAAAACTTGCATAATGGCAAATCTACACACAAATCTCATGATGATTTGATTCATGTCCGTGCGGCCCAACTCCGACCTCCAACAGCAGGAGCCAGGCCTTCCTCTGAGGATAAAATATATGTTACTGGCATGAATGTCAGGCTAACAAAACTGCAAAAGTATCAAGGATGGTGAGATTTAAAAATAAATGTTGTTGGGGAAAAAATACAGTTCGATAAGTGTAATGAAGAAAATTATTTTTAATCTAAGTATGTGGTGTGTGTGTGGCATCTGTACAGAAGGCTGTGTCAGGATAGGCGTCACATTCAGTGATGTTTTAATGTTGTGCTCTTAGCTTGTGACAAGAAGTCATACATTAAGCAGCTGTGAACTTTGGGACTAATTAAATCTAATTTCTTTCAGTTGTCTATCTCAGATTGTTTTATTGCGCTCCCTTTCCTTCCCTGCTGGATACAAGTGACGCGTTCGTCAGAGCCAATCAGAAACCAGGAAGCCTCCAAGAGGAAGCGCCGGTGCTTTATTTAAAGCGGCGCGGCGCTGCAGTCTGTAGTCAGTCCCAAGTTCTGTTTTTCTGTTGTCAAACTGAAGACTCTGAGAAGATGAAGGCTCTCCTTCTACTTATTCTGACAGTTTGGCTGAACAGCCAGTCCGGCGACTGCTCTCTGTCCTCTTCGTGCTCCTACCCTCCATCCCAGTGGTGCTCGTCCCTGGAGGCGGCTGTTGAATGCGGGGTAAGATCACCGGAGTCGGTCTTTACACACTGACTTGTACTGTAACTACGGAAAAGGATTTTTGTTGTTGTTTTTTTAATGGTAGCTGACGGTTAAAGCCACGGGACACTTCAGACAGTTAGTTTCGGTGCTGACAGCGTTCAACTCACTTTTAAATGAGTACACCGTCCGCTACAAACTACAGGAAACCATAGCAACAGCAGTTACCATGACGTTAGCTAATACAGCTAGCTTATAGAGCTAGGTTATAGTTCACATTTAAAAGCTCCTCCTGTTAGAAGAGGCTCGCTTCCTGTCTGCGAGGTGGACAAACACGGAAACTTTTCTGAACTCGGTGGTGTCAGATAACAGCAGCTCTGCTTAGGAGTACAGTAGAGTATTAAAGTACCCGGTAGTAACGGCTAACGTGGAAGTAACGCTAGCTACAGCGTCAGGTAACGTCAGCTAACAGCGGTGTAACGGAGACACAACACATGTGTAGTTTGGAGATGTTTGTTCCGCTAGGTGTCGTTGTTGTTTTGTTTGTTTCGTTAACTGGACTCTCGCTACCACCTGTCTGTTCAGAACCAGAATCAGAAGCTTTTTATCGCGCAGTGAGGTGAATGAGATGGTGCACAACAACATTAACAAGACAGGAGTAAATACAGGAACTAGAGCCAAGAAAGTCTGAATAAAATATAAAAATACCACGTAAATAAAAAGTTATGTGAGAAGAGCCATAAACCAGGTAATAAAGGAGGAAACCGTTTGAATGACAGCATTGCACCTGAGACTGTTTGACTGATGTGCTGACTGAAAACAGGGGACGGTATGTTCAGCAGTTGTCTCTCCAGTGTACAGAATCAGCCTAAACCAGCTTTAATGAGTCCCTGAGCAGCAGCAGCGTGCACGGAGCGTGTTCTGGCTGCTCATGCACACTGTGAACAGATCTGTAGGTGGTGTTTTAAACCAATAGTGCTCAAATTAATTACAGGAAGTATTTTTAAAAGTGCCACCCCGACCCTGCACGCTCGTAATGTCGCCCCGAAAAAACAAATTCCAGTTTAGATTAAGACTCATCCACGCTCACCCACCTTTTTATTTTGAGGTCAACTGAACAGGGTGGTCGGGGTAGAACTTTGAGACACTGCACCATGAACCCAGGTGAACGTCCTACTCCTCCCCCTCCTGCAGGCTCTGAAGCACTGCCTGCAGTCCAACTTCACCAGGTCCCGTCAGCCTGGAGATCCGGTCGAAGTGGGCCTTTACTATGAGAGCCTGTGTCCTGGATGCAGACTGTTTCTCACTGAGATGCTCTTCCCCACCTGGCTCCTGCTGAATGAAATTATGTCTGTGAATCTGGTGCCCTACGGCAATGCGCAGGTAAGCAGTGACGCACACACCTGGACTACACACTGGGATCATGGTTCTGTTATAGATGTTGGAGTGGAGCTGAACCATGTGTGATCACAACAGAATCAGAGAACCACCGTCCAGGAGTGGACGTGCTTTTACTGGCAAAAGGGCAGATAGTCATGTCCAGAATGTCATGGTCTTCATTAAGAAAATGCATTTATTGTTTTATTATTCTTTTAAACTTATGAACCTGTTGTATGTACCCCCTCCCAGGAGACATCTCAGAAAGGCAAATATGTTTACCAGTGCCAGCATGGAGAGCAGGAATGTCTGGGCAACATGATCGAGGTAACGTCACCCTGCAAACACACACAATGTGCTGAAGCTCTGGGATGATAATGTGACTACAGCTCAGAGCCACGCAGCCTGCTGCAGTTTGGTAACAGAAGCTCTAGTGGTCTTTCACAGAATGCTCTGTGAAGTATGGAAGGCTGGATGCTGTTAAAGCACGATGCTGCAATGACTCATGGAAATGATTAGTGTTCAGATATCTACGTGAATATACCGGATATATTATCTCTATTTGTATGTATAAATTATATACATAGAGTTAGCGTCCGGAGCTGCAGGTGTCTCGGTGGTTAGCACCGTGGCCTCACAGCTAGAAGGTCGCCGGTTGGCGTCCCGGTGAGGACACCTGGGATCTTTCTGCGTGGAGTCTCCATGTTCTCCCCGTGCAGCGTGGGTTCTCTCCGTGTTCTCCGGCTTCCTCCCACAGTCCAGAAACATGCTGAGGTTAATTGGTGATTGTAAATTGTCCGTAGGTGTGAATGTGAGTGTGCTTGGTTGTCTGTCTCTAAGTGTAGCCCTGTGATAGACTGGTTACCTGTCCAGGTGAACCTGCCTTCACCCTGAGTCAGCTGGGATAGGCTCCATCCCCCCATGACCCCAGTGAGGATTAAGGTGTAGAGATGATGGATGGATGGATGGACTTAGCATCTTATTGTATAGCTGTTCACTCTGCTGTTCTTCTCATCTCAGACCTGTCTGATGAACATGACTAAGATGGCTTTCCCGATCATCTTCTGTATGGAATCCTCCACTGATGTCATCAAGTCGGCCCAGACTGTAAGAAACACTGAGTGTGCATGTTTGTTTGTATGTCGGTCACTGTGACGTCCCCAACAACAGCTTCAGTTGATGTGTGTTTATTTGCCACCGCTGCTCTTCGTAGTGCACTCAGGTCTACAGCCCTGAGCTGAAGTGGGACAGCGTGATGAGCTGCGTCAAGGGGGACATAGGAAACAAGCTGATGCATCAGAATGCCCAGCAGACCCAGGCTCTGAACCCTCCACACGAATATGTGCCCTGGGTGACCATCAATGGGGTAAGGCTTCAGTGCAATCAGCAGGGCGTCCTCTGAGCCGTGGGCAGCACAGCTAGAACCCATGAAACATCAGTTTCACAGTTTCTCTTTCATATTGTTGCTGCTGCACTTTGAAACCAGATATGTCACGTTTGCAGTGATGCGAGTTTGTGATCATTGTGACACTAAAGAGCCCCAAAGCCCAAACCTGTAACTGAAAGAGAGCCGTGAGTGATGAAGCTGCTGCTCGATGCAACAGGATGCTGTCTCTCTGCCAGCCGACGCCAGAAAAAGTCACGTGATCACGACTCCAAAGTGGAATCTGCTTGAAAGCGATTCTACGATAAAGGAAGATAAACCGTGTCTCCATCCAGCACCAGGGACTGGTCGCTGTGTGGCCATCACACGCCTCGTCTCTGAGTTTTTAAATAAAATTTTGAAAAGAAGCTTAAAAGCAATTTCAAGGTGTTGAAGTGTGTCAGAGAGAAATGAAAACCTGATATTGTATGTAGACATACACCCAACATGTGTAGTCCATGACTAGACAATACAGCTTTAGAATAGTTTGTGCTTAATTTGCTTCATTCATGGCAACAGTAAATGTGAATTTCTAGTTTATTTTTAACCCTCTGAGGTTTCTAGGTGTTTTTAGCTTTTTGATGCTGAGTGTGGGCTGACTGCAGTGTGAAGTCCTGCACCTCAGTGGAAACCACGGCTGAACCCGGAGGGAGCTCTGTCTTCATGCCATCAATCATACAAGAAGGAAAAATAAAGCTCAATTTTAAAAAATATTTATTTTACAAAAACTGAAAAAACATGAGAGCTGCAGGTGTCACGGTGGTTAGCATCGTTGCCTCTCAGCTAGAAGGTCGCTGGTTGGATGGATGGATGGATGATTGGATGGATGATTGGATGGATGATGGATGGATGGATGGATAAAACATGAAACCAGTGTGCACAACATTTTTCCAAATGCCCACAGGTGTCACCAGAACCAGAACAACATGCTGGCTCTGCTTGCTGCAGATATTTTGCTACCTAAATATTTGATTTCTGTCGATACTCGTCTCCTCTCTGCTCTGTGTGAGTTCAGGCTGGTTTATCCAGTTAGTCTGTGGATATCGTTTCTCTCTCTGACTACTGCCCTCCAGATGTTTTCTTTTTACAGAATAAAGTTTTGATGAAATGTGCTGGTGTTCTCTCAGCCTCAGCAGTTTCTGTGCCTTAGCGTTGAGTCTCCTATACCTACTGATACATGCAGCTATTGTGACAAGTGGAAGCTGCAAGTCATGCAGCCAGTTATTTCTGTTTTTAATATTATATGTAGTAAACTCAGTGATTATTTCTTCTGAAGCTGATGCATACTGCTAAGTGCCTGTGATGTTAAAGAGCCCTTCTAATGTTACAGATGGTATTCCAGCTTTGACTCACTTATTTTAAAGACTACCTGTTTCTACACCAACCCTTGGAATACTGATTTTTGAAACCTTGCAGGTGCACACAGAAGACCTGCAGAACAAAGCCATGGCTTCTCTCTTCAGTCTGGTCTGCAGCACGTACAAGGTGACCTTTCCATCAGTCACATCTGTTTTGTCGACTCTGTTCTCTGAACTTCTGCCTTTCAGTTGCTCAAGCTTGAGCTTTGACCCCTGACAAGACCTTCATTTGTTTTAGGGTCCCAAGATTGCGGCCTGTGGAGGGAACCAGAAAAACTACAAAACCTACTGTCACAACGAGTAAAGGAGCAGCGCTGCACACGCCTGCATGCTAGCTCCGTTCCAGGTGTGGCCACTACATAAGGAACACTGACGAATGTCTTCCAATGCTTTTATAATGTGTGGTTTTGCAGGTCTGTTTCTACAACGTTCATGATTTGATCACCTCACATGATTCACAAAACATCAATACAATTATCTCTACAAAACAAACGTGTCATCATTGAAATGTTATCGACCCAAACCGCAGAACCATACATGTTCTGTTTTAAGCATTTGACTCAATGATGGCTGCAGGTGGCTCGGTGGTTAGCACCGTCGCCTCACAGCTCAGTGAGGACACCTGGGACCAGGTGTGAATGTGAGTGTGCTTGGTTGTCTGTCTCTAAGTGTAGCTCTGTGATAGACTGGTTACCTGTCCAGGTGAACCTGCCTTCACCCTGAGTCAGCTGGGATAGACTCCAGCGCCCCATGACCCTAGTGAGGATTAAGGTGTAGAGATGATGGATGGATAAGCTGCTTGGTTTTTGCAGCAGTCTCTGTAAATATACAACACTTCCACTTTTCCTACTTCTAGACAAGAGATAGGTATCTGTGATCCTCAGTCCAGTGTGACTTCTACGTTGTTGACTCAATGATAGCATTTTGGTATTTGCACTACTTTTAGTGCCCTTTACAGACTGGTCAGTACCCTGTCTGTCCTTTAGATGGCGCCATATCATAAATCATTTTAAACTTCCTGTAGTGAAAGAGAGAAACAAACACAGGTTGAGGTTGGAGAAAGAACTCTTCATCATGCCACCCTGTGGTCCTAAAAGGCGTGCTTTGGCTTTATTTACCATTTTCTTTTAATCCAAAACAACAAAGTGTCCCAGACCATCCTGAGTGGATTTAACGTTCACTCCTCTGAACACGGCGTCTGAAAAAACTGACATGTGTAAAATAATACTTTATTCACAAGTGCATGTTAATAAGGAAACAAAGGATCATTACTAAAGGTCCTATAAATAAACCAAAGGTGGTTCATGACTCACAGCTGATGCTAGACTTTATATGTTATGGTGAATTGAGTGCATCAGTGTGTAGGTTCATTAAAGTTCATCCAAATTCAGACGTCTCCTCAGGATTTTACTGAATGTTTAACGCAAAGTCTAGTTCAGTGAGAAATCCAAAGCTGTGTTGTAGAGAAGTCACAGGGAGAGACTGTTGGCAGCATCTTGATCAGAAGCAGGGTCTGGCTGGACAAACCAGAAGGTCCACAGATCTGCAGTTAGATAGACACACATGAATAATGAGCTGTCATGCAGGCAGCTCCACCAGCTCCATCTCACATCTGGGGGCTCCACGTACGTTCTTGTTCCTGCTTTGTGGCCTAATTCTTTCCAATTCCTAAAACATTTTAGGTCTAATCGGGTTACAGTTTAAAAACTGCTGCTATAAAGTTTGGATACGAACCAAGAACAGCGCAGGGAAAGTTGGGTGCTTATCAGCGTCCTCATGACGGCCGAGGCCCTGAAGAGGCGGGGAATAGCTGTTCTGTACTGAGTGACAGCCTGAGGAAGTATTGGTGCCACAGACTACTTCATATCTGATCCTAAATGTGGTTCCTGTGTCCTCCTCTGTGGTATTTCCTTCCCAGTTGTCTTGTGCTCATGATACAGTAGCTGAAAGTATGAGGAGAAATAACTCATCCAAATTTTTCAACTTCACCGAGGTAAGGGTCAATAATTAATCTTTAAGAAATACTTGCACATGCCATCTGTGGCCTGGGATGTTTCTTCTTTATTCTCCCTCATTTGTAAACTCAGAAAGAGGTTTTACATTCGCTATCAGACCGTGAACTAAATGTCAAGTTACTGCTGTGTGTGATGTGTGATGATACTCTCAGGTGTTGTTCTGCCAGAGGAGAGCCTTAATGGAGGCCTGTATGTCAGAGTCACAGTCACAGAGAGTCCTGTTGTGTCCTGCAGAAGATTAATCACCTAATGATGAGACAAAGTGAGTCTGTTTGATCATGGAGCTCCTCGATAAATCAAAATTCATGGTACAGCGAAGATAGCACAGCTCTGTGTGTCCTGGTCAGAAATGGTCAATAATCAAACCTGACGGAGTGCTGACTATTGTTTATGGAGAGGTGAAACTCCCAAGCAGATGGAGAGATAGGGTCATGGGATGCAGCAGAAAACAAGGACTCTTATCTGTTTCCCGTCAACGCTGACGCTGAGAGAGAGATGCCCTGAGAGCTAAGTCCTGAACACTGTCTCCCTGTGAGAGTCGTCTATTGTGTCCAAGGTGATAGTGTGTGGGTCTCAGGACCTGCGATCAGATAAAAACCTTCCAAAAATAATACCCAAGTGGGCTTTGGCGAGACTCGTCACATTTTCGGCAGCGCCACAAAAACAGCCCTGTGTGCAGCTTACCTTCAGATCTCAGAACATGTTTTTCCTTCCAGTCGAGCTCGACTTGTTCATTTATGATTCAGCTGCAGAACTTCCCGTCGCTCAGAAAGTCGATACCAACACACAGAAGTTGCTTTATGTTCAGATGCTGCGTGTCATTTTAATCTATTGGCAATCCCAGATCATTATTGAATACTAACTCTGAGTAGTGCTGTCATGTGTTCAGAAGTTCTTAAAATGCAGATTGCTATTGATTCCTGGGAGCCACACAGATCTGTTGAAGTCCCAATAAACTTTTAACAAAGCTGATTGAGTAGGTAAAGCATCTATTAGTGCTTCAGACGTATAAATCACATTTAACAATAACATCCAAAACTCTGGCACGTTATTTGACTAGTGGCCAAATTCTGTTGAGTCACGGTGAACTGAGGCGTTTCATTCTGTTGTTATTGAGCTGCAGCGTGTTGTGACGGGGAGTAATGAATGTTGTTAACACCGCCAGAGTGTGTGAGGCACAGCGGCGTCTGTGTATCGTCTTCACTTCGATGAGCATGATGAGCTGACACTTGACAAAGCCAATGCAGAGCAAAAGAAAAGAGACAGTGAATGGGGGTGACATGTCGGAATAAACCCTGTCACAGGTGGCCAAGGAGAGTTTCCACTTCCTGGAAAAAACCTCAACTCATGCACACAGGACAAGCTGAAGGTCCAGTGAAAAGCTGAATGAGAGAAAAAGTTTCTCCAGGTTTCACACCTTCATGCGTTTACAGTCTTTGTCTGGTTTCATGAGTAGACACACAGTAATACAACCATTAAACCACTGATATCCCCTCTTAGCTGCTGACTGTCACCTTCCTGTCTGTTCTGTCTGCCGTCCAGAGGGAGTGGGACTCCTCGGAGCAGCCCTTCTACATCGAGCTTCTTCATGAAGCTGGCAAATGTGCTGTGAAGAGGCTGTTCTCAGGCCCCCTGCAGCTGCCCAGGCTGTCCTGCAGACCGTCCACGCAGGACGGACCAGAGGACGAACCCCGACCCGCCACCACCGCCCAGAGCATCAGACCGTCCAGGAGCCTCGGCGCTCTGACCAGCTGCATCACCAGAGCCTTGTGAGTCACTGATGCACATGTTGTGAAGTACATTTGATCCTGCTGGTGATACGCTGCCTGTTTGTTATCACCTCGTCGACATTTTTCAACCTCTCTGTCTGAGGGTGTGTGTGGGAATACGTCTGACACTCGGTTTGTTTCATAACGTCTGAACATTGGAGAGTCACCGTTGGTGCCAGGTTCTCACGTCATTAACACCTTCAAACTAAAAGTGTACGTAACATTTTTCAAACTTTAAAATCTAATCAGCCCACACAAAGAGTAAATTTCCAACGAGGGCCGATGTGTTGGTCAAGCTGTCAGAGCGTCCAGACCGTGTCCTGTTCTGTCATTTTGTTGGTTTTTGTCTAATTATTGCAGTTTTTGTCTTCTTTCTGTCATTTTCTGACTTGTTTTTCTAATCCTGTGTCTTCATGTCTCGTTTAGTGTTTGTTTTTGTCATTTTGTATCTTGTGCTTTGTTGTTCTCGTCCTTTGACAGTCTTGGTTTGCTTTGTAACATCTGAACATTGGAGAGTCACCGTTGGTGCCAGGTTCTGACATTATGAACACATTCAAGCTAAAAGTGTACCTAACATTTTTCAAACTTTCAAATCTCATTACTCCACACAAAGAGCAGCTTTCCAACGAGGGCCCATGTTGTTGGCCGAGCTGTCAGAGCGTCCAGCCCAGCAGTGAGTCCGGCTTTATCCCCGGCCAGCCTTGCTCTTACTGGATGTCGCCCCTCTGCTCTCCTTCCCCATATTTCCTGTCGGTCAGGACTTACACCGTCTATAAAAAGCAAAAATTCCCCCAAAAATCTTCCAAAACATGCAGGCTGTGTGAAAAGGACTCCAGCAGCCACACAACACTTTAAAACGAGTGATTAAACGTGTACCAGCTGCTGGGCCTGTATGTCCACAGAGGTCTCAGATGACTTTGCAGCAACTCATTCTGGCTCTGCCTTCTGTGAAATCGTTATTATTCATGACAGTTTTTATTGTTTTCTTGCCTAACTGCTTGATTTAGGCAGAAGAAGCCTATTTGCCTCTTGAGCATATGATTCAGCAGCGTCCTGCTCAAGGCGCTGCTCTCTGCTCTGTCACACTGTTGATTAACTAGCACCGAGGAGGATCAGACAAACAAGGCTCTCATGGTTGTTTCCACGACAACTTTTTGCTGCAAATTCATCTGCGTCGTTTATTTTGTTCGCCTCTCTACGCTCTTATGTGCGTACGCATGTGTACGTGTGCACATTATCTTTGTTGACTCTTTTTCACGTGTCTGAGGAATGCGGACCGGCCCGTTGGATTGCGTCGGTCGCCGTGGTGCACGTCAGAGCTGATCAGATACGGCTGTGATAAAGATACAAGCGTGCTATTAATGGGTCTCTACAGCTCGCTTTGACTGCATGTTCGTATAGTTTTTATTATTGATGCATTATAGGTGTGAATGCTGGGTGCTACGCACACACACACACACACACACACACACACTGGAGAACCGTTGTCTGATGTGATATATTGTTGAACATGCTTTGTATTATGAGCGTACATAAACCTGTCCTGACATGTAGCCTACAAACTAAAATTCAGTAAAATGTCGTTTCCCAGCCAACCTACAGCTCACTACGATACAACAGGCTCATTATTTACTGCCTGTAACTAAACTCTCATCCTAGCATGTCTGAGCCTTCACTTCTCCTGCTGCTGAATGTATATTTTAA